CAATTTACAGTACGATTCTCTACAACTATTACTATTATCACGATTATTATTAGTAAGTATAAAGGTACCTACCCAAGTAACGTATATTTATCGCACGAATTGCAACTTCAATTATATTACATTAATATAGGAAACGGCGGTAGATGCATAGGTTGTGTCGTCAAGTTATTATATTTGTTTGTTAGGCTGTACTCACTATTTTGTATACACAATAATAATTATTGTTATCTATGTATTATTGTAGCCATAATAAGTATGTAACGTTTTGAAAAAAAATGAAAGATGGTGATAATTTATAACAGTATTATATTATCTATTATATTATATTATATTCTAATGCATAATTTACAATTCATAATGTGGATTATAGTACCTACAATTAGGGTTATTGTGATTTATTTTTATTGACACGCGTTAAGAGTTTCATTTAAAACAATTAACTATTATGTTTAACCTAGTAGATATATTAAAGAGTATAATATCAATAAAAWACTACCTATATAGAATATTTCAATAGATCGGTGTTGTACTGTTATTTGTGGRATGAAAAATTTGTTTTAATATTAGAATATTGTAATCGAGTAAAAATTCCATTGACCTATTATCAAACTTAATCCGTTTTCTGTTTTTGTACGTTAAATTTTAGGGATATTTCAATACATTTCAATATTTTACATTATCATATAACTCGAAAGAAAATTAAAATCGTCAATAAACCGACGTACAATAACAGAAAATGCCGTTTCCTTTACGTTAAAATCCGCGTAAATAATACAACTAATGAACATACATTTTGCTGTTACACACCTGTAAGATGGAAACAACGAAAATGCGGGTGTGGCATACTGGCATCCTTATAATAGTTTTTACTTTTTATCATTGCACGTCTCATTCCGGAAATAAAACATTTTTGATTATATAGGATCTCCTTTTTAATTTTGTTGCAGTTAGAAATAWTCAATGCTCGCATGTTTATTATTAACCATAATTTAAAAAAATGTATGTATTATTGACTATTGTATATTACACAATAGGCTATATTATTTATGATAAAGTGAATAACAATATTTAAAACAATGTTGGGATCTGGTCATTATTTTCCTATTTAAATTTTAACTTTGTTAAAAAAAAAAATAAAAGATCTTATAAAATTCAAATAAATCGCACCGCCTAAGGTTCTTTAAAGTAGTTTCGCACATAGCATCCTAGTATCCATGTGGCGAACACGATTTTAAATAGCAATTAGGTGTGGTATTACATTAACATCTACTCTATAAATCGTCATGTATTAAGTGATTTGGCCAAATCTTAAATTTAATGTCATATACTCATATTAGTACACGTTGTACTATTTAAATGAATTAAATTTCTATTCTTAACAGTTCTTTCTTTTTTTTTGTGATATTAAAAATATGTTTGAAATATAGTTTTAAATTTTTTAGAACGATCAAGTAGACTATCAAACGACGAAGTCAGTTATTATTATTAACTAGCACCATGAATGCTAMGAACGGACTACTAATTAGTTTAAGTATATACATTTTTAAGTGTTATCTGTCGTTAGGATAGTTCTCATTTTATAGACCATAAATTAATAGTCAATACTCTGCGTTACTAGGATTTAAATTTATCCTGTACTCTTTAATTTGTATATCATAATATTAAATCGATAAAAATATTTAAATGTATTGAATTAATTAGTTTTCAAAATTTATCTATCAGTAAAAAAAATGCGACTCAGTCTACGTGATAAACTTTTCATAATATTGATTGTCATTACTAAAATAATTAGATATTATAATGAATTATGAATAAATATTATACAATATAATATAAGAATTATTTAAATATAGTCACTCATGAATTCATTATTAAAACATTTGTATCAACGTGTTAAGCCATTATAATAATATTTTTAGATAAACATTTTACTAAATAGTTGATAATATTATCCATATTTATTTATATTTGTTTTAAATCTAACATTAATATTTGTATTTAAATGTATAAAATTAAATTAAGTTAAAATTGAATAAGATAATAACTATAAATTTATTATTACGAAATAAGAAGTATTAGAGAAATCGACGAGTCAAATAAATTCAATAGTTTCTCTGTGAGATTGTTTATAGTTCTAAATAAAATAAATTTAACCATGGATCTTAGATGAAAGTTTTTTAACTATATTGTCATAAAATAATGATAAACGAAATTATTAAAATAATTATTTTTATTCTTAAATAAAATCGWTTGGAGTCTCGGCTGAATCGAATAATAATTACCTTATTAATAAAAGTATTTTATATTTAACCTGAAAACAATTTAATATACCATGTATAAAACGTATTTATAATTAATAAAATTAATAATAGAAATTCGAGAAAATAATTGTATGGTTTTTATTTGATAAACTGATAATCTTATTAAATTTTATACATAAATATTAAAACATTATATCATATTATTTATGTGTATTATATATGTTTATTTAGATGAAAAGTGGAAGACGATTTTATTTATAGCTTTATGTTTACAGATCAAAATTGTAAACATTAAGACAATAATTATTAATAACAATATTCCAATTATATTCTTATATAATATGAAAAAATAATACATATCATCAGTAATTTTAAGTCAAAAGTTTCAAGAGTACTATTACTATGACATCATAATATTTTATCTAAATGCTAAAGTATTTAGTATATAGTAATAATAATTAATAGTAAAACAAAAACTCAAAGCCATCAACCATGAAATACCAATCAAGTTTTGGAAGTATAATTTAATAATACACCTGCGTAGAAACACTAGAGACAAGTTATTAAGATTTTTGTTGTTTTTGTCATAAATTCATGATACACATCTCCCCAAACGAATCAAATTCAAACACTCCAAAAACAATCAACCAAAGCTTAGGTTCAAAGTCAAGTATATATCAAACCACCACTAGATGTTTAAATTTAAACTCTACCTATTTTTACCCACAACTACATCATATTATTATAAATTATAATGAATAGGTACTGTATAAGTATGTTTATGCTAGTGATCACGGGTGGTTTTATTACGGTTAGGTTTATATATTGTCGCGGACGAAATGCGCGAGCAGTCCCCGGCTCCCCGCGACGTCGTCGTTTCAAATAGAAAAAAAAAGGTTTTTATACATATATATATATATATATATATAGATGTAAAACAATTCTCGGTGAATCATGCAGTCATATCATCGAGGGATTTTTTTGTTTTACACCAATTGTATTTTATAAATAAACGTAAATAAATGATCAGTACCTATTTTGAATCTACTTATAATCATTTATGATATTAATACTTCCTAAATGTTCAAATACATAAAATATAGGTATAATCTTAATTTATCAATGTGAGTATAGAATATGTTTTGTTATATATTAATTATTTTTAAACACAAGACAATATGATAAAAAAGTCAATTATTTTCCTCTCATAAATTAATAAGAGTTTTATTTTTTGTTGGTGACGACGATGAGTGGCCGCTGTCCGGATTGTTTGAAAGAGGGAAAAGAGTCTTAGCAAACGCTATAGTTAGTTTATATTAGAGCGGTTTATTCTTAAAAATAGATGTTTAATTTTTTTGCTGCACCCTCTCATTTTTTGTTTATAGCAAAAAAATATGAATTACAAAGTTTAAATTAAATCATTCAATTTTAAGAGCTACTTTCCGATAGGTACTTGAAGTTAAGTAGTTTTATAAATTTTTACGAAAAGCTCGGAAAATTGTGCTACAACTTTTTCAACCAAAAAAAAACCCCAAATATAGGGTAGTGCAAATTATATAAAAATTTCAGTAATGCCACTTAAAACATTATTACATAATTTATTAAAGGCATAGAACAGTGGCATGCAAAAAATAAGTAAAAACTCAAAAAATCCACTTAAATGGATTTTTATTGTCTATGTAGGTTGGTACTTATACCAATAAGTGAACGGTTCCAATTAAAATACAATTTCATATATGAATACATTTATTTCAAATTTAAATTTCTATATTCTATTATAATGAATAAAAATAATTATTAATAATATGTTTAGTCATATTTCTTTAATCACAACTCTACATGTATCTACTAACGTTGTGCATTTTCTAGCTGAAAATATTGATTGCAGATAGTATAGGTACCTACTATTCAACAATTTCTTAAAACATGCTTAAATAATTTTCGATGGTCAATGTATACACGACATTAATGTACATAATATAAAATTGTTGAGTTAATTTTTGTATTTAATTTATGACGTATGAGCTACGTATTAATTTTTAAATCAACTCACTATTCTTGTTTCTTTTAACAACCATAAATCAACTTGTTTTAATTCAAGAGAAATAGACATATATCCAGCCTTAAAAAAACAATAAAATATCTAAGTACTTATGGACTTAAAAGTTTGCAACACAAAATTACAAATTCTTATTTGTCATAGAATGAAACAAATATGTTTATAGTTTGCCTTTTGTATACGAAATAGATTATATGCAAATGGTAGAAGTATTTTAGCGCTCTATCCTAGTACTAATCTAACCGATTATTTGTATGATTTCATTAACGATAAATTAACCGACGGTATATCGTATGGAGATCATATCTTAGATGAAACTAGGGCCAAATGTTTTTTTTAAGGAAAGAACTGTAGCCCTCATCTTGTTCATTTTTAATCTATGTAGACATTTCCTCTCAACCCTTCTACATTCTACTAAGTTAGCATGCTATAAATATAAATTAACATCAATATTTATTAACTATAGAATACTCCTTAAATACTACAACAAATCTAAGCATTTGTTAAATTTTAGAAATAGTCATGCAACAACTCGTTTTTAGCCAATTTAATGACTCATTGAAACATTTTTAGTGGCTCATTATCTTATATAAATTGGGGGTGACAAGCCTCAAATAACTACGCCTATGATACCTATGTATTCTAATGTATTTTATGTAGGTAACATGATTCACACTTACGATGGTTCCGGTGCGTCGACAGTGGGAGTACGGCTGGCGGATGGCGCTGAACGCGTCGTCGCCTGCCTGGATAACATCATCTTGTTTGGGGAACAGTGGCAGCTGCAGTGGATGTAAATCGTATCTATATCGGACTATGTTTCACATGTTGTTCCGGCGATGAGGGTATAAACGTTCCGACTTTTCCTTCTCACGAATTCACGATATTTTAAAAGACCACACTTTTGATTTTCCACGTTTTCCAGGCGAAAATCACGACTGCATGGATGGGAATACGACTTAAACGGCGAGCGCAACGATCGGAGGACGGACATACTCTGAAGAGTCAAGARTGTCAGCGAAGCGCGCGGACTGACGTGGCGCGGCCGACCCTTATCGCGACGGCGCAGCACGACCGGCGACGGCGTCGCGCGTCGTTGCTATAGCGATACCGTCATAGTCCATAGAACCTCTCAAAGACGCGCCAGAAAAATCTGTTTTGGTTCGAATGATGGGGGAGGTTATGTAGTTTTTCAGCGGTCCCCGAGTTTTTACGGTGAACAGCGGACGGCGAAAGGTTTGAAAACAGGATACTGGATAATTTATCCTAGTATGTATCTGCGTAATTTGGAAATTAATTCCTCCAACATCGGCCGTTTTCGTGATCGTTTGGCCATCTCTCTAAAAATTAAAAACAAACCTAATAATATGGTGAACAATATTATCGAATGCAGGTAATAATAAAATCGGTTGCCAAATAATGTCATAATAATTCTCGCGGCTTGTTCGTTGTTGTCACATGATTCGGTCGCATTGCCTATGGATAAAAATATTCTGCCTTTCCGGGTTTATCGTAGTAAATACAGACAGGCGATTATTACATACCTCAGTGTTTATCATGTCTTTTTTTTTTATCTTAAATCTAAAGTATACGAATGAGAAAAAGGAAAAATTATGATCAGCATTTATTTTTAAAATTAATGCGTGTTTGACAGTTATTTAAAATGTTCTAAAAATTCCATAGCGAGTGTTTAAATTGGTTTTTTTTTAACCATGTGATATTTTAATGTATCGATCGCGGCTTTCCCGAGCACATCTATATACTATATTATATTGTAGTACAGCTGCACTCGTTTTTATAGAAAACACGTCCATTACACCTAGTCGATCATGTCGATAATAATATGAGATTGACGTCAGTTGTCATTACGTTACTCGCAAGAGAATATTATAGGTACATGTCGTATAATTATAAGATTATGATGTTTGGTAATCAGTTATCTGTTCGCCACGCATACAAAATATACTGCACAGTGTACCGTATAGCTACAGCACGTGTAAATTGCCAAAGTCGGATAGTCAGGTAAACGCTTTTCGTGAAAACTTGACCTGCACCTAATCTATCGTTACAATTCACGAGCTACGTCGAAACATAATATATTATATAAATTAATTTATAACATAATTTTGCGTTTGTATATGCATTTCTACGTTTTCTCGAAAAAGCGATCCATCGCTTTCAATGTTCATGCACGAGGAAATAGAATGCTCACGCAAATTATTACATAATGTAAAATAATATTTGGAGGCACCGAATTGATCCAAAATATATAGTAAACTAGTTAACACAATCCAAAACGACATTACCTAGGTACCATACGTTTGAATAAGGAACCACTCAAGCAATTTTTACGCTATAATAACAGTAGTCGTGGTGTAACTGAAGCTTAACCTCATGATGGTTGGTGGATGGGGATGGAAGTAATTAAAATGTCTAGTACAACCACAGAATAACATCAAATCTTGTCGTAATAATGTAATATACATATAGGGTTCTCCCTCATCCGCAACACTTTAATTAACTTATTTTGTACCTAAAACTGTATGATGATAACAGTAAATTATATCGGATAAATACTGGGAATCAAAAAAAAAAAAAAATTTATACTTTATTGACGCATTCGAATTGATTTTAGTGTTTATGTCGGACAATGTGATGAATTGCTTCCTAACTACTATTGTCTATTGAGAGGACGTATAATATGTATTATATATTATATTTGCGCATCATATAGTTTGTAGATGGATATATAGTGATGACGGTCATACACATTACACATTAACATTTTAACATTCGTATTTAGTTGATTATTTCAAAAACAACAATGTAACTGACACGGTGACACCAATAGTCAAATAAGGTCATCATAGGCAATACAAGTTCACACACATAAATACACTGTAGAGTGTAGTGATATCGATATAATAACCTATAGTATCGATAATCGGACATTATGATGTATTGTCGACTATCATAAGTATAATAGAATTATCCACAGACCACATGTAAAGTTTTCGAGTTTTCGACAATCAGGGAGTGTACAATGTATATTACACTGTTCGCATCATGCATGATGTACGATAAAATACGACCGATACCATGCTGTCCAGACAGACGACTTAACCTAACCTAACTCAGTATACACCGTCACTATCCTGCAGAAGCAGCTGTTGTTAATACTAAATATAAGAGAAACACTACATCACGTAAAGCTATATACTGCTATAGCCTATGCCCTATTGTACGAATACACGCGAAACCCGTTTTTCCAATATTATTCTTATAGTCGTTTCGTAGTTACCTATATATCGTATATACCGGGTGGTCCATTTAACGTTAGACACTTGATATCTTAAAAACTACAAACGTTTATAAAATATTATAGCATAAATATGTTTCGGGGTTGCAGAAATAGCCCCCACAAGGAGGAGCCCAATACCTGGAGTACAAGGGCCCGTTAAAATGAATTTGTAATTTTGAAATTTTGATAGGAATACTTATTTTATAGAGGCCGAAAAAATATTAAGTGCAGGGGTCCAACATTTGATATGGGCAGCTGGTCACAGCACAGCCAGGATATACGATAAAATGTTTCTGGCTGATTTTCAAAAGATTTTTGTTTTAAGGGTTAGATACCTATTAACAAAAATATATTTAATATGATTCATAGAAGCGGAAAATTATCGAGCAGTGAGTTTTGTTTTATCATTTTTTGTTTTATAATTTTACATTTTTCTATAAATATTTTTTTTTTCATTTTTAATGACAATATCCGTTTTTATTTCTTTATTCCAAAGTGGAAAATTGTTTGGAATATTTAGATATATAAAAATCAAATTTTGAATGAGTATAGTTGATGAATTCTAAATATTAAAATTTAAAACTTTAATATGAGCTACGAGTGAAGTGGTACACGATTCAAAAATAGTAAAAAATATTGTTTGGTAAAGACTTAAGATAAATATTTTGAAAAACTGGTGTTTCCCGAATTAATGAGTATCACTCTGTTGCCTGTATACTTACCTATATTATATGAGAAATTCTCATCAATAGCATCACTGTATGGCAAATAATAGTATGTACGTTCTAATCGAATTTCGAACGATCGGTACGATTACGGGACATCATTACAGCGGACCTATAGAGTTACGTGCGGTTTCGTGTCTTATCGAAAATAAAATCGCATCGACCACAACCGGTCGGACTTTTTTCTTTTCTCATATAACAGCGTTTGTTCAAAAAATTACAATTAATTTAAACGTGATACCATTATTTTATAATTGCGTATATCGAATAACTTTGAGCAGATACAAAATATATTATTATAGAATGTATATAGCCTAACAATCAATAACTTTATTACCGCAACGATCACTATATCTAAAAAAAAAAAACAAAACAACCGTACCTACATTTAACGGGTATATATTTTGTTCAGCGTAATAATTCAGCTATCAAAATTATTTCGATTTCACCGCTTATATAAATCAACGATATGATAAGTACATTATTTGACAAAGTTGTCAAATATTAAAAAAATAATGTACACCAATATCAAAATTTAACTGAAATAAGTTTTCACTAATTGATTATGTACATATATAATACAGCGTGATTTATTAAGTATTCTATGCATCGTTATGCACAAATTATGCATTTTTCTGAATTGAGGTTTTTATTAAATTTGAAGTATACGTACCTACCTAATTTTCTGAACATTTTTGAAAAATATTTTAGGACATTGTAACTAATGTGCATCTTACCTTTCGGCGAGAATCCAACGGCAGTACGGCAGAAGCCGCGAATAAAGAAGCCGCCGCCGACCGCGTTTTTTTCAGCCTTAMTAATCAGTGTCGGTTACTGGTGAAAATTATCGTGGTTACAATCTCACGAGTAACGTGAATCGTATAGACGGTGGTCACATCAACCACGGTATAAAATATTCGGTGACCACGCACAGTACACAATGTTCACATTGTAAATTAGTATGTTACGCGGTTTATTCGCTAACGGATAACCGTGGTAATTTCCGTCGTCATGTCGGTTCGATGAAAACGCGGTTGTCGTTGGCATTTTTCCCGCGTCCGTCGTGCCGATCGATTCTCAATAAAATCGTTTTCGCGTTTTCGTGCGTGTTCTCAACTGCGTACTTCACAATAATAATATAGTGATGGCGTCTGATATAACGCTCGTGATGAGGTCGGCTGGAGGTAGGTAGCTTGCGGGGTTTCTGTATTATACTGCACAGAATAACATATAATAACAGTACACGTGTAAACGTGTTACATAAATATATGGAAGCTTAGAAGGGTGCAGCCCTCCCTAAGCCAAGAGCAAATCCTCCTTAAAATATCTTATTTAGGTGATTTTTTATGTTTTATATTTTATAGTCAATACTAAAATAAATACTCAATATAGGTAGATAAAAGTATAAAACTACGATATAATACCGGTCGCATAAAAATCACTAATAATTTAATGAATCAATTGGCTGCATGGACCTAGTGGTCGTTTAAGTATGATTATGCAATACGGTATTAATGTATTTAATTACAATAGGTATTACATTATTCAATATTATTCAAGTCGTTGGTTATTAGTCGTTCTGGGTTATGTTACCAAAATGTATCATGTCACTGATTTTATACTAATATTGAAAATATGTACCTATAAAAAATATGTCCTATGACGTACATCCCAATGCCCCTATGAATTCTTCGATAGGTACACAGTATCACAGTGACAGCATTGAAAAATGGCTATCATATTATAATAATTTTTGTATATTTAATTCACCGCGTTTTTTGCGAATTATTCATTTAACTTCTATACATTTTATATTAGACTAGACTGTTGTCTGTTATTGATTATTATTCATAGAGATTTTATAGGTATAATATTAAAAACTGTAAAAATATAGTCACTATATTGAAGGCGATGCTTAATAAATTTACATCTATTAATGAATGCTAATTAGCTGGCTCTCAATCTACCAAACAGGTACCTATTCACTA